ATAACTATCAGAAGCTCTTCCTATCTAGGGTATAAAATGTTCAACATCTAAATTATTCAAAAGATATATGAAAAGGGCATATATTTTTGTACAAAAAAACCCACATCATTATATTAGAATATATTTCACACGATTTAAGGACTAATTCTTGAGCTGGGATGCATGTATCTCCCTATAAACCCAAGAATATTTTCATTTTAAACAAAGACTGTAGCTACTAAAAAAGCTACTAATGTGTAACATTATTTCTTGCATTCTTTTTACATTTCCTTAGACATGAATCATAAAATCATTACCCCATGTTAGCAAGGAAGGAGTTGCTAGGCCCGGTTGGAGATCTTGGCCTATCCTGTTCTTCATACACTGGGGGAGGGATAGCAGCTTTCGAAGACTGTGATCGAGGTCTTGAATCCTCTTCATAGGGAAAATCTCGGGGTACTAAAGGACAAAAATAGGTTAATAAAAATCATACAAAAATATTATGAGCGTACTTATATACACTGCTTCTTTTGAACTAATTTCACTTATGTTTTTGCTTTGCCAGAAAAGAAAAAAGTCAAATTATGCAACATCCACAAAGCAACATGACTTTTAGCATGACAACAGAATATTATTTCCAAATTTTCTCCCATTCTTATTTCCTTAAATGACCTTTTTATATCTTACTGAAATGTTATTCACTCTTTCTCATATGTTCCAAATATATATTACTTCTCTTTCAATTCCCACAGATAGTATCCTGGATACACTTGTCTTAAGTATCTTGTCATAATATTTCACCAGCCTAACATATTAGTCTTTGAGGTTAGGGATTATATTAAAACACTAGTTTTCAATGGAGCTACACATTACAATAGTCCATAGGGAGCTGCACTACTAAACCAAAGACAGTGTTTCCCTGCCAGTCTGAATCCACCAGCAACTCCATGAAACAAAAGATGGGCAATCTCTTTCCATGCAATTTACAGCCTCTGACAATCCTTTCAAGGATCAGTCATGAGTTGGACTCCAGGACTGTGACTGACTTTTAAACACATTACACAAAGGGAACCTGTGTACCACTCCTGATAAGGATATTATTTACAGGTCTTTTTATACACTAGATATTTAACCAACTGTAACCTTCCAAAAAAGTTTCCTGGTATAGTTTATGTATAACAGGCTAAAAAGCATAGTGAAATTATCTAAAGAATATAACAACATTCAATTTCAACAACAACAAAAAAAAATAGAATAGATTAATAGCAGAAGAATCAGTGTAAGGCATGTTCTGGCAATGTGCTTAAATGGATATCCTAGTACACTGAAACAGGAGGGAAACAAAAAGACACTGCCACCTCATGGAAGGCCATGGATATAGCAGCTCCTAAACCACTGAAGGGAGCTTTGGTGGCGTACTTGGGAGGGAATCGTGCTTCTAACCCAAAGGCTACACCTTACTACTGTTTCAAAGCCACCAGTGGCTACGTGGCCTCTTGCAATATAGAGCCCCAGAAAGCAGCCAGAGGGCCAGACAGGAGTCAATTCCATATGATCAACAAAGAATTTAACCAATGAGGACTGGGCCACGGTTGTGTAGTGTGTAACTCACTGAGCTGAGAACCAAATGGCCAGCAGCTTGAATTTACCAGCTATTCCACAGAATAAAGACAGACCATCATCTCCTGTTAAAACTTACAGCAACTGAAATCTAATGGGAGGTTGCTGTGAGTCTTAACATGAGTAAGTTTGGTTTGTGGTTAAATCACTAAGTAAAAAAAAAAAACAAAAACAAGGTAAAATACCTTTGGGTTGATTCTGACTCAAATAAGTGTTTCAGAGCAGAACAATCTATAGAGTGTTTCTGGTTGGTGCAAGACCAGACAGTGTTTCACTCTGTTATACATAAGGTCACTGCGGGTTGGAACCACCCAATAATAACAATCTTCACAGTAGCAGAATGTCAGGCCTCTCATTAGTGGCAGGGTTCAAACTGCCAAACTCAGGTTAGTAATTGAATACAAAATATATGCTCTACCCAGGAATTTTTAACTAATCTATTTATAGTTTCAACCTTAACTCCAAATAAATCTAACATCAAATGTGAAATGTTGAAAACAAGTGAGCTGCTTTAAAAAAACAAACAGCAGCTCTCACTGTATTAAAAAACCTGTCATAAAAAACGCCCAAACGAACACAAAAATAGTCTGGAATGGAAACTTGTAATCCACAACAGGAAAGGGGAAGAACAGTATCGTGGGTGGACCCACAGTCTCAGGATTGGCATTCAGTACATTTTCCCTTAAACGCACCAAACTTGCTTGACTCAAGCTAAGGTTTTCCATAAACTGTATTACAAGAAACAGAATAAACAGGTCTACGTACACTCTTTGTCTTTTTCTACAAGAGAAGTAGGTGGTGCAATAGCAGCTCCGCCCATACCTGCAAAGAACATCAATTTAGCTGATTAAAGAATGGAAATGTTTTCCGACATAAGACTCTCAAGCACTGTGATATGTACCATTTGCCTTATCACTAACATTACCAAAGAAAAAGGAAAATTATTTGCTACTACCTCATTTTTCTGCTAACAAGAATTAAATATCTGAATCTAACATTTAGAGACTAGAAAAGCAGCAAACTTAGGTAAATAAAAAGTGAGCTTTTCTGTTTGGTCCTATTTTTCCCTCTTAAAAGGCAGGTAAAAACTGCTATAGTTAATGAATAAATGTTAAGGTAAAGAGCATAACACAAAGAACTACAGTTACTTAAAAATCGTAAAAAAACTACTGACTGATAGCATGTTTTACACTAGGCACTTTCGTACACATTGTCTCACTGAAGCATAATCAATGTTTAACTGTTTCCACTCTGATCACCAGGGAGCTTGAGCTTTACTGACCTAGAGGTAAAAAGTTATGTTGCCAACCCAAAGGTATACCAGTTTAAATGCACCCACTATTCCAAGGGAGAAAGGTGGGCAATCCTGTCTAACTTACTGCCTCTGAAAACCAACTGGAGGGTCAGCTAAGACTTGACAACACATAACAACAATATATAATACAGATGCACACTGGCTTAAGGACCAAATAAATAATATTAAAAAAGAAATTTAAAATAAAGTTTAAAATTACTATAAAACAAAACTGTAACAGGATAAAACGATTCTCTAAAGTCAGTACATAGGCATTCTGATTTAATTAGGGTTAATACTATAAAGCACTGAAGGAAAAATATTTACATACTTCCTAAGATCATTTTTTTAACCTTGTCATTAAGACTCAGAGTGATTTCTGATTCATTCAGAAAAGTAGAATTGTTTTGGAGATTTACTATAAAAAAACTCAGGATGATTATTAGAAATCTAATATTCATATAGTTAAAACATGATTATCAATCTACTATGGGCAACCTCCTCCCACGCTACACACTGCCTCGGAAAACCCTAGGGGGGTTATGAGGTTGTTCTGATTTGACAGCACATTAACAGCAACAACATCAACAGCAGTAAAACAAGTATTGAGTATTACTTCCCTAATATCAGTTAAATGTTCAAATACGAAATAAAAGTATTTCATTATAAAGACTTTATACCTTCTGTTAACATTCAAGTGAAGGGAAATCCCTAAAACCCTTTTAATATAGAGGTCCCAACTCCTTATCAAAAAAAGGCAACAGATTGGTAAGCTGAAAAGATGGGAACACAGTATTCAACTTAAATTAGATTCTAAAACAAGTTAATAAAAACCAGTTCTCTATTATTAAATAAGATGTTTATTATAGAAAGTATTTACCATTCTCTTTGTGCCTCAGCTTTCCTATTCTTTAAAAAACGTTTAGCATTTAAACAAAGATGCAGCTGAATGTAGAAGAGAGGCAGTATTATGACTATTTCAGGTAAAGAAATAATTATGTGCATACTTTAAGCCATTCTCAAAGAATCCAGTAAGTATAAAGTTGTTTGTTACAAAGCACAAGAGAGAGGATGTGTGAAAATACTATGTAAATGAAATTGTTACATAAATGTGGATTAGAGACCCAAATCAAAGGCAAATGAACTATCACTACACTGAATATGAAGAACAAACAGCATAATTGCTCCAGGTCAAGCTTAAGAGCTATGCACGTGCCTTACTTCTTTTTTTAAAATTGTAATGTTAGTAAAAAGCTCCATGTGACATATTTTTGGTATGATGTAAAGAGGGACCAGTCCTTGGAGAGGGAAATCATGCTTGGGAGGGGGGAAGGACAGCACAGGTGAGAATGATTTAACTCAGTAACTGGGGCAGGGGGCTAGGTGTGTCAGAGACAATGCGGGTGGGTCAGGATAGGGCAGGCTTCAGAGCTGTTGTACACAGGGTCACTATGAGTCACAAGCAACTCAACAGCATATAACAACAAACAGTTTCAGTAGAAGTTTACAGAAAGCAGGCCTTACATCTTTTCTTCCTCTCTCGCTCATAATCTTCGTCTTCATCAGAATCCGGATCTGGTCGCCTTGAAAATCCACTAGCTTCATGTCTGTCTTTACGCCTCCTATGATAAGAAAATTAATATTAATCAAAACTGCACCAATATAGAGATGTGAACATGAGAATTTCACCTTTCTTTTCTCTTGGCTAAAAATATGTACATTATCTCTTTTAGACAAAGAGCCCTGACACCATAATAGTTAACAGATCAGCTACTGACTGAATGGCTGGTGATTTAAATCCTAGGAGCTCCTCTTGAGGGAGAAAAAAATCCCTATCAATCTGCTCCCATAAAACGTAAAGCTTAGAAAACCTATAGGACAGCTCTTCTCTGTCAGACAGGGGTCATTATGATTCCAATCTAAATTCTTAGCTATTTAAACAGTACAATACCAAAGTATAAAATCTGAGAAAATATGCAAGATAAACAAACAGGTACAAGAGCATAACTAGCAAAAATAAAAAACTTTCCTTGACAATTACTTCTTTCAATTTTAAAACAAATTAACATGGTTAATAAATAATCTGTTGCTAGAATATGCTTCACCCATGAAGTAATTCAGTAAATAATGAAATATATCAACATTTAATAATAGTAACTAATGTCAAATATATTTATAATATGAAATATTCATTACTATCCAACATTTTTTTTTACAAAATTAAATAGAAGATGCCTATTATGTTTTAAAGAAAAGAAAAATCTTCACAACAGGATCAATAAGTAACATGATTTAAAAAAAAAGACTGATTTGTTATGAATTTCAATATACTTGAATCCATAATCAACTGTCATGGATGCTGCCTTTAAAAACAGAAATCAGCTCTTTTTGTGATTTTTGTAACTGTGAAAGTGCAAAAGAAAAGGATATCACTTTCAAGGCTAAGGTGTGTGCACATCTGAAAATACCCAAGTCATGGAATTTTTAATCACTTCATATGCATATAAAAGTTGGACAATGAATAAAAAGACCAAAGAATTAAGTACCACAGAATGCCAAAAGAACAAACAAACATGTATTGGAAGCAGCTCAGTCAGAATGCTCCTTAGAAGCGAGGATATAAGAGTCTGTCTCCACCACAATAAGATAAACAATCCAATTGAAAAATGGGAACAGGATATGAACAGACACTTCACCAAAGACATTCAGATGGCCAACAAACACATGAAGAAATGTTCAAAATCCCTAGCTCTAAGAGAGATGCAAATCAAAACAACTATGAGATATCATCTCACCCCAGTCAGAATAGCAAAATTTAACACAACAGCAAGCAACAAATGCTGGTGAAGTTATGGAGATACTGGAACCCTCATTCATTGTTGGTGGAAGTGTAAAATGGTGCAGCACTTTCTCAAAAAGTTGCAAATAGAGATACCATTTGACCCAGCAATTCCACTACTGGGAATATACCCCAAAGAGACCATAACTGCCACCCAAGCAGATATATGCACACCCATGTTTACTGTGGCTTTGTTCACAATAGCAAGGAGTTGGAAACAACCTAAGTGCCCGTCAACAAACAAATGGATAGAGAAGCTGTGGTATATTCACACAACAGAATACTACACTGCACTGAGATACAAAATGGATGACCCTGGAGGAACATTATGCGGAGTGAAATATCTCAGTCACAAAAGGACAAATACTGCACACTGCCACTGCTATAAAACAAGACTGACATCGGTGTTGGGGGGAGACTGAGAAAGATAGGATAAATAACATATTGCATTAAAACAGATGAGGGAGCTCTCTGCTCAGGCCCAGGTCCCAACCACGGACTCTCCTGCGGTACACATTTGCACCCAGCGCCTCCCTCAACAAGACGGCCCGGCCTTTTGGGGCCTCCCCTCCTGCTGACAGCGCCCCGCAGCAGAACGGATTGCCAGTACGACCACTGGTCCCCAATGGCAGCAAACAACGACTGATGGAGAACACGGAGGACTGGCGGCCTCGACCTGGGACAGGCCAGTCCCGTTCCTTCCGCATTCTTGCCCACCTCACGGAAACCGAGTTCATGCAAGACCCGGATGAGGAACACCTAAAGAAATCCAGGGAAAAGTATGTCCTGGAGCTGCAGAGCCCATGCTACACTCGCCTCCAGGACTGGCACCACCAGTGCTCTGCCCATGTGCTCAACGTGCAGTCGTAGCCCGGACCTCTTGCTGGCCTGCTGCCCTCTCTGCCTCTCTGTTTCTGTTCTTCTTGCCCAAGGCACCCCTATAGGTTCCTCCAGCTTTTGCCTACCTCACCTACCCCTTTTCTGCCCCTTGGGGTGAGCCTCCACAGGCTTGACCCTGGCAGCCCCGCCTGGCACTGGCCTGGCTTCACCTGACACTGCTGACCCTCTCTGCCCTGTGGTGCTGCTGTCTGCCAGGTCCACGCCAGCTTGGGCATGGAAATAAACATTCTCGGCCTGCTTTCTCTGAAAAACAAAAAAACAAAACCATAGATGAGGGAGAAAACTGTTTAAACAGGTTATGTGATTAGGTATTATTGTCATGACAGAGGTCCAGAATGAAGGCTGCATAGTGGAGTGGACTCGAGGGGAGGGATTGTATAACAATGAAAGAATTTTTCTTTTTACTTTTCAAAGAGAAGAGCAAATTGGGGGAAGAGGGGTGGGCAAGAGAAAAGTGCAACAATGAATGAATGAAAAGCCCAAGTCTCTGTAAACTTTCATTAAAATAAATAATAATAAAAAAAATTTAAAGAAGTTTGTCTCAATGCATGAGGAAGGAGGAAGAATTGACACTTTTGAATTATGGTTTTGGTGAAGGATACTGAGCTAAATCTGACTTGGAAAAAGTGCTGTCATAGTGTTCCTTAGAAAGGATGGTGAGACTTCGTTTCATATACTTTGGGCAAATTATCATACGGGGTCAATCTTTGCAGAAGGTTATCTTGTTTGGTAAAGCAGAGTCAGAAAAAAGAGGAAGACCCTCAACAAGCTGGATGGACACAATAGATACAACAAGCTCAAGAAGAGCAGTGGCTGTGGGGATAGATCAGGATTGGGAGATGCTTGATTCTGTTGCTGAGGCAGAAATGACTCGGTAGCACCTTAGAGGTTTTAAATAATTCTATTTCCCTGACAAACATTAGAGTTAAGACTAAAATATTAAGTATTTTAAATAGTTGTTATTCGAATGTTGTTAAGTGCTGTCGAGTTAAGCACAATTTATAGCAACCCAATGAACAACAGATCTGAACCCTATCCTCACAATCTCTGACTCATCTGAGCATTGAGGCAGTCATGGTATCTATCAATCCATCTGGTTGAGGCTCTTCCTCTTTTGCTGACCCACCACTTTTCCAAGCATGATGAATGACCCTCTGTAAGGCCTCTTCAAACATGCTCAAGGTATGTGAGACAAAACTTAGCCATCTTTGCTTCTAAGAAGCACTCTGGCACTAATTCTAAGACATTTATGGCTGTCCATGGGATACTCATCAATACTCTTCTCCATCACAGGGAGCTCTGGTGGCCTAGTGGGGCAAGAAGCTGTGCGACAATCCAAAAGCCATGCAGTTCAAATCCACTAGCTGCTCTGTGGGAGAAAGATGGGCAAACTCCTCCCAATGCAATTAACTGCCTCTGAAAACCCGTCAGAAGGTCAGCTACAGGCTAAGATCCAACTCGACAATACACAACAACGTCTTCCCCACAGTTCAAAGGCATCAATTCTTCTGTCATCTTCATTCATTGTCCAGCTCTCAGATGCACAGTAGGTGAATGAAAACACCAAGGGCTGAATTGGGCACACCACAATCCTCAAACTGACACCATTGCTCATCACTAATTTGGAGAGTTCCCTGACTGTAGACTTGCCCAATAGTATGTCTTCTGATTGCAGGTACCAAGATTGTTGATTGTGAATCCAAGTAAGATGTACCCACCCACCCATCTCTATGTATCTGGATGATGCTTATAAGGACTTTTGTTTTCTTGATGTTGAGATGCAATCTCTCTTGAAGGCTTTGATCCTCTGTAGGAAGCCCTCCAAGTTCTCTTTGATTTCAGCAAGCAACGTTGTATCATCTACATAATTCAGGTTGATGATGAGTCTTCCCCTGATCCTGTTGCCATTCTTCTTCATAGAGTCCAGCTTCTCAAATGAGAATACTGAATAGGCATGGAGAAAGAATACAACCCCGACACACACTTTCCTGACATTAGGCCACGTGGTCTTCCCTTGCTCTGTTTGGAAAATAGTTTCTTAGTGTACGTATGGGTTTCTTATAAGCATAATTAAATATTCTGGGTTTCTCATTCTCCAACTGTTACACTAAAAGTCATCTAATCCACCGCTGTGGAGCCAGTTTTGACTCACAGCAACCCTCCAGGTTTCTGAGGCTGTAAATTTTTACAGGAGGAGATTGTCTACCTTTCTCCGAAACACTGGATTCAAGCTGCTGACCTCTTAGCAGCCCAATATGCTAAGACTATGCCACCAGGGATCCTTCGTAGTCAGTATAGGGAAATAAAACCATTATTCAACATCAAGTTCCCAAGTTATTTTTCTAAAACTCACCCAAAATTTATATTTGTTTTCCAAGTCGATACATTACAATTTTCTCTAGAGTTGATTTAAAAAAAAAAATCTTAAAAAATGTGATTCTTTCTATTGATTACTTAGATCAACTATTAAAAACCTAACTCTGGATAAACATTCATGTTTGGGTTGTTAGAAGATTGTTAGAAGAATAATAAATGTCACACCAGTAGCTTAGTGCCCTTTTTCTAACCTTATACCAAATAAGTCATCCAATTCTGTCTAGAAGGGATTCTTCAACAGAGGTTCTCCACAACAATTTTTGTTACATACACAAATACTAAGAAGCCAAGACATATACATCAGTATCAAAACTAAGATTCTTTGGAAAAATGTACTATAAACAATATCAGCTTGTCACAGATAAGCAGAAAATTAATACAGGACCCAGATAAATAACATTTATAATTTTGATACTGAATTAGGAAAGGATACATTATTTCAAGTTGCGACAAATCAAGAGACTTTTAGGGGATGATTTTTTTTTAAAAAATGAAAACACTACTAAAGTAGAGCTGGTGATACATTGTTTATGTGCCCGGCTACTAACTACAAGGTTAAACATTCAAACACACTAGCCAGTCTGCAGGAGAAAAACAGGCCGTCTTCTCTCATTAGTATTCATAGCTTTAAAACCCTCAGTTGGAATGAGTCGAGGGCATGGGTTTTCTGAGAGTCTCACATGTGAAGCCAAGAGAACGAATAACTCTCGTGCACAACACTTCGGTAAATTCATACAAACATGTCAAAGATAATCTACTTTCTTAACTAACCTTGCTTTTATATTCCTGGTATTTGTAGTATTTCAATGTAAGAAATATCTTCATTCAACTTCTGCCTCACAAACAGGACTAAAATGAATTCATTAATATGCTAATCACCATTTCAAAGGTAAAATCCCCCAAATATATTATCTTACTTTTCTCTTTCTTCTATTTCTTTCTGTCTTTCCAGCTCCCGCTGTCTTTGTCGTTCTTCTCTTTGGCGTTTTACTACTTTCTCATAATCATTAGGAAACATAGGATCATATTCATCAGCTAAGGGAATCAAAACTTCTCCTGCAGAAAATCCACTGGGAACAGGATCCTAAGGAAGACAAAATGCCAAAGTAAATATCACCATCACATCTTAGAATTTTTTTTTTTGTTCAAAGATTAAGGTAATAAAAATATGATGGTTAGATGGGGCCTTGAAGATCATCTAACCTTGTTTTAGTTTATAAAGAAACAAATGCCAAAGGAGGCTGAATGACTCAACACAGTCACATACTTAGCTAACTAATAGCAGAACCATGACAAAGATTTCAGCTTTTAGTATTTTTATCTCTAAGAAATTATGTTTTTATTTTTCTCTATAAAATATTAACTAAATTCCACAATCATTTCACAGTCAGTATTAACAGATTAGCTTAAAATTTTAGTTACTTGGAATAAATAATATAGTAAAAATTTTAAAAAACATTTTCAGTCTTCTTAAAATTCTCTGGAGCATACTTTCAGGGAAGACTGTATCTCCAGCAGAGACTGACACAGGTACACCAAATTCCCTCTACATCACCATTAATTTTAAAAGATCTACTAATATCAGGTTCATTTAATATTTGTTCTTTTATACATTTAGAAACTGAGTAAATTGTTTGAGAGATGCAGCCTTAATAAAGACTTTAGAAAAACACAAGGAAAAACAGAGGGCAGTTGACTAGGAAAAAAAAATTACTGGAAATGGGGTTTGATCTAAATATAGTTCTGGTAAAGCTTTGGTCCTGATCCAATATCTTTAAACCACATTATTTTTTCTCTTTAGTTTTCTTAGCATAACTTTGTTTTATTATCTATGAAATTAAGATGACTTAGCTTGCTTACAAAGACAGAGAAACACACACAGGTTAGGAATTAGTAGTCCTGAGTGGCCAGGCCACACAACTTTGAGAAGGTATACTGACAAATACTCCCTTAGTGCAAGGTTATCCATACAACGTATTTCGCATGTGAATAGAAAACTAATATGATAAAGATAACAGTATGTTCAGTAATAACAGATCCAAATATAAAAATTCTTTTATTACACTACTTAGTCTAAAATTTTACACAAACTTTTCATTTCTCAATGACTAAAAATCAAGAAACCCTATGACCCTATTATTAAAGACAATTAAAAACAACAATTACCACCATTTCCCAGGCCTTTTTATCAAAACATTTACACAAACCTATGTTCCCTAAAAGGAAGTTGTTGTTGTTTTTATATGCCATCAGTACAACTATGTACAACAAACAGTCCTAAAGCCTGCTCTATCCTGCGCCAATTGCACTGCCTCTGACACACCCATCCCGATTTCCCCAGTCACTGAATCAATCCACCTCATAGAGGGTCTTCCCCTCCTGCGCTGTCCCTCCACCCTCCCAAGCATGATGTCCCTCTCCAAGGATTTGCATTTTGTGTTCACAAAGAATACATTTCAAAACACAAAGTTACATAACAAGATCTCTTTTCAGTTATTACGAATGTTGTTGTTGTTATGTGCCGTCGAGTTGCTTGCGACTCATAGCAACCCTATGTACAAGAGCCCTAAACTCATACTGGCAAAAACCCAACA